GCACTTCTGCCCCGCTGGCAGCACCCGGGCAGCTCAGCGGTTTCTTGCTGGAGATGTGAGCTTGGCAGGATCTCTTACGGAGCACCTGGGTCAATACTATCCGATTTGGGCTCGACTCTTCGTTGCGGCTGCTGTAGCGATGGTCTGCTGGTTGCAAGATGCCGTGGCTGTGATTCGCAGAAGAGAGACACTGAAACCGGCAGGTGATGATTCCAGCTTGGCGGTTGTACTTGATCAAAAAATCTCTTGAGCCTTGGCTATGCCAAAGGGGCTCAGGCCGAGGCCGCTGAGGCTTTCTGTGCCAACTTTGTAGAGGAGTGCTTTGCGTTTTCTTCTCCTCTTGAGAAAGACCGCAGGGCTTGGTCTGTGCAGGGTGTCTTTCATGACGACACCATAGGCCGTAGGCTTTTCAGAACATGACACTCTTCTGTCACTGCATCCGCCTGTCCCGGTGATGCAAGGAGAAGCATCAGAAATGCACGAAGTGCGTCTTGGCCGTCTGTTGTATAAGGTGGTATACTTGGCCCCCCCCCCAAGTGACAAGACGCCCTGAAGAAGGAGCCCGGAGAGTAAAAACGTGAGAAGATAGCCGGCCCGGGGCCCCAAAAAGACCCTCAGCCCCGGAACCCTACAAACCCCCAACAGGCCTAGGGTGGAGGTTGAGGATCTTGGGATTGAGGGTTAAGTCCAAATATAGGGTTGAAGAGTTTGGGTTAGGGCCTTGGTGGCAAAAAGGTTTAGGGTTTTTCAGGTTGATGCTTTATGATTTGCGGATTCAGGGTGGCTGGGTGTTCAGTACCTCACCAGTGGATCTAGCTCATTCAAAACAATAATCCACCAGAGAAAGGCTGCCGCAGTCGGAAAAAAGAGTCGGAAAGCAAAGACGACCGAGTCGAAACAGAACGGTCCGGCCTGGAAAGCAGGCCAAGAGAGAGTTGGAATATGGTCTTTCAAGGTCCGGCGAACGTTTCCATAGGTTTGGGCTATGGATAATTCACGCGTTGGTTTGTTGGGCTTGAAAACCCATTCTAACCTGTTGGGGTTTTGGGTTTGCTGAACAGTCGCTTTTTCTTTGCCAAGGAACCTGAGATAAACCCCAGCTCAGATTGGGTGCGGTTTAGGGTCGGGTCTGTGGTCCTGCCTCCCCAGCGCACGAATAGGGTCGGCGACTGTCGGTGGGCGAGTCCGCATGGTCAGTGCGTGAAACTATGTTGCCCTAATCAAAACAATGGTGTGGCGCACACGCCTCCGTGCCCCCGTCGGCACGCCGCCTCAACATTCAGATTGAAGTGGACGAGGTTGCGGGAGAAGGGGTGGTGGAGTCGCGATCCAGCAGTGCATCTACGGCGCGAGTACCACGGGGAGATCCTAACGACGACAGTAAATATGACGGCGACAAGGTGACTTCACGAATGAAAAGGTAGCTGCGAGGTCAGTTTCGGACTGGCTGACTTCCAAAGCCAAGCGGAAGAGACAGAACGGAAAGGGACCTGCTCAGATGGAGCCCGAGCAATTTGTGTCAGCAGGGGTCGAAAGCTGGCGAAGAGCGCGCGCCGGGGCAAAATTTTGAGCCTTTGAGCCGCTTGAAAAAGAGTACCCATCCAAAGCTGAGTGTGCGGTGTAGCACACATGTGGTCCCAACAAACAGGCTTTACTGTGTTACCTTCGCTTGAAGCTGGCTCGGACATGTTTGTTCAGAGATCCACTCTAGGTGGTGCTGTCTTGCTCATCGACGCTTCGTTTTGCCACCCTGCTGCACTGGGGAATCTCACAGATGAGTGCAGCCATGGCTATCCGTCGAGCAGTGACTAGCTGAGCATGGAGATTGCTGGTGACATGAGACCGTGCAGGTCACGTGTGTGGTGCGAAAAAACCCCAAGCCTGCCCCTCAGAGACCTGAGTTGTGAGCAAAAGGGAAAGAGACGGGTGAACTTGGCCAGGCCTCTGCACCCTAGCCGTGGGCCATGGACCTCCCAGCTTCAGGCTCTGCTTCGGCAAGTGTAGGTGGGCGTAGAAAACACACCCTGACATGGTTGCATGTTTTTTACACATCCGCTTAATTCCTTAGGCCATTCTGCATGTGTTTACACTTCTTCTTAGGGTGACCGCTTGACAGCAAGCTTTGCGGAGGCTTCTGTTTGCTCAGGAAGATGCGGCGGTAAGCAAGGCTTGTTGAGCGATATGGACTGGCTTGACATACGCATTCAGCAGAAGCAGCACAGAGATACTGTTGATGATCTAAATCCTGCATGACCTTAAGGACCCTAAACTATGGGAACTATGGCATATTCCGCATGATGGGTAATGCAGGATTTATGTCATCAACTGTAGTGTCCTCCGTCCAGGCTTCTGTAGCAGATATTGAGTGCAAGCGATCCTGGCTCTGCCCTTTCCTGCGAGGTTCTAGACCGGCACCATCCGCAGCTGTAGTGAGCATGAATTTGCGAACGCGAGAAATCGCGAGAACTCCACTAAAGTGGCAAAGCCTGAGAATAGGGTGCCCTGGTCAGTTGGTAAGTTTGATGCTAGACTCAGCACGGTGTAAAGATTCGCAGACTGTGAGCCTTGCATACACTCACCTCCCTCAGCCCCATCGTCAAAGCTGAATGCGCTGCTGCTTCGAAAGTACTACTCGGACCGAGGCAGTGTGATAATGCTTTCTGATCCAACTTCCTTTAAATTGCTCTGATGTTTCACCTGCGAATTTGAGGCAGGCTGTGATAGTTCATTGATGTTGCACAAAGCGGCTTCACCAACAAAAACGGTCTTGGCATCCGATCCTCCTGCACTCGTTCTTTGCGAGAGCCATTTGTAATCATCTGTTCGTCTTTTTGCAGATTGAGGCACCGAGCGTGAGAGGAGGCTTTTCGGAGAGCCCTGGGAAGCATGGAAACACCGACATAGCTTCTTTTTGCGGTGCCCGCACGGAGCTACGGCGCACCTCGGTGTTCGACAAGACTGCCCTTGTTCAGAAGAGCTTTACTGATTCGTTTATGCCGAGGGGCGCAAGGTGTCTTTCCTTGCGCATTGTGCGACATGCTCTGCCAATACCTGATTTCTTTGGCCCTCATGGCCTGGGACATTCTCGTGCTCTTGACCTAAGTGGTCTGTATTGAAGTATCTACTGCAAGAGAAAGCCCAAGCCCGGCTGTTTCGAGGGGCGGTTCAGGAACTAGACGGACAAGCCGTCAAGTTGTCTAAGAGGACTCGTATAGCGGTCAAGGACAACAAGTTCTGCAAGAGAAAGACCATGCCACTAAGGGCATGCGGGAAGGTTCTCTGCAACGCATGCAGTGAAGTGGTTGTGCCATAGATGAAATCTCACCCACTGGCCGGAAGATCACCTGTTCCGCTGCCTTGTGCAAGGAGCCGCGTCGCCCCAAAGCACCAGCCTTAGGAATGGTAACTTGAGAGATCGGTGCTGCAGCGGCGGCTGGAAGAGTGTCTCTCACTCGCTGACCGGGTCGCCTTTCTTAAGCACGCAGCCAGAGCAGAGCCAGCGCACGCCAAGTGGAGACAACTGATGAGGAATTGGGCGGAGGCAGCGGTTGCCTTGGCAGACGCCGTGCTCTGCATTGACCAGGCCGGACAATCGACGTCTGAGCCTGAGTAGTTCCCCTGGACAGAAAGGCTTCCAACGAAGCCGTTGACAAAAGCAAGGCCGAGGAGTAGTGCTTTGAAGATGCATGTTGACTTGCAGCTCACGGCTCCAAAGAGCCCTGAGCCCGGGCTTTGCTTTCTTCTGCGCCTTTTCCGAAGAGGAGCTGCTGGCTGAACTCATCGACGCAGGGCGCCCGCGTCCGGACCAAAATCACAAATCGGAAGGACCGGTGGGCCGCCTGCCTCTCGTGTTGTTAAATTTGAGGTCAGGCACTGGAAGTGTACACTCAGCTGGCTATCCTGGACGTGCCTCCTGCTCGCTTGGCTTTGCAGTCTAGTTCCTGGCAGCTTCATGCTTATAACAGCTCCTTGCAGGCACAGCGTGCCGTGAATCTACTGGAGAGGCAAGCTCGGTCTCTACAATTTCCTTTCTCTTTGAACTAGTCATTTTTTGCAGCAGTTTCCTATCCGAGCAATTTCTCCTTCCCGACCTCCATGTTTGTTCCGGTGATTGTCGTTCCCGGCACGCAGGGCGCGCTGGCCGAAATCGGATGAAGAACGGGAGGCCACGCGAACTTGCGGTCAGCTCCCACCTCACGGAGATGGCTCGGCAGGCCGTTGGCCAGGTCCGGCAAGGTCCAAGCGGCTCTGCTCTGTCTGTGCTTTGTGAAGTGGATGCATCTTGAGTGTACCATGGGGCGCAAGTCCTGAAAGTAGTCTTGTCAGCTGAAGACGACGCAGTCCAACACACGAAACCGCGATTCAAGCACACTCCATGCGAGCGCACGCGACTCAAACGCGGGCAATTTTCACTCGACGACTGGAGCACCGGCGATTCAAGCACCAACGTGCGACCAAACCACCAAGGCAGCACCACCTTCTCCAAACTCGCCGGTTTCTACGACAAATCCGGTTTTTGTACGTGCCATGCCTAGCCCCCTAACCCTGACAGATTCAGGGTTGGCGTAGTCAGCATGTCTTCATAATTTTCACTACCTTACCTTTCCATCCAGTTAACTGTTTAGGCGGCTTATGAGTTTCGCATGGATTTTCCCCCGTTTCGCTTCCAAGTTCCAAGGTTTAGAGCTTTCCTACTTGTCCCCGTTGTTACTCTGCGGTCGTTCGCGGTGTTTGACTTTTAAACTTGTCAACGCTGAATCCTTAACGCCCTTTAACCCTGAAGCCTCAAAACCCTGCGTAGCGCAACTCCTGCGTATAACGCGGGGTCAGTGCCGCCTTACCCCGAGAGAGCGGACTGATTTCATGCAGCGCTGAAGGCCGAGGGATGTGCTTTGAGATTTAGGGTTTAGGGTTTCAGGACCCTAAACTATGAGAATTATGGTAACTAACATATATATATATATAATTCCAAAGCAAAGTGCTTTTCCGCTTTGCCTGCTATGGCCGCCGGCTGTTTGCTCGAACAAGGAGTTCTAGGTGGGGATTGTCCTCTGCTCTCTCCTCACACGTTCCAGGCTGGTACCTCTCAAGTTTCGAACTTCAGGGCACTGTGTCGCTCGCCAGGTCCATCTGTCTGCCCAGACAGTTCTTCATTTCGCAACAACACAAGCGCTCGGCTTTGATCTGGTGTAGAGCAGGATGCAAAGATTCCACGAACCTCGATCTGTCTGTGGTGTGAGTCGGTGTGAGCAAGGTAGCGGCAATGTCTTCCGAGTCACCTGGCTGAGAATCCGACACCCTGATGTGGGCATACATGGGATCCGAGTACATGGGGTATCCCCTTAGAGGTCCGCTGAACCATCGTTGGCGCAGTCTGCCCGCGACATCGTCCTGGCACCGATTCTGACACTGTGGTCGCACAATGTGTTTCTGGGTGGTTGTAATCATGATAGACCTGGAGACACAGGCTTGTTGAGATCATCAGGCTGCTGTTGCGGCTAACTTTGAGGTATCCAAAGCTCTGCCTGAAGTGGTGCCGTGGCAAATTTCACGGAGTTTCCCACTTTCGATATGGTACTGGTAGCACAGAAGCAGATTGTGTCAAGAACATCTCAGGTGCTTGCCTCCTTTTACGTGTTTTCTGTGCTTCTGCTGCCAAAGCGCTGCTCGGTCCGCAACAGGGAATCTCACTGAAGCCTGGATGAAGCCTCTTAGTTGCACGTCAAAGCTCTGAGACAAGAAGGTCTTGCTACATTTAACGACGGTGAAGTTTGCCATGGGCCTGGACTGTTGTGGCAACATGTCAGAGCTTCTTCCGATGGATCAGTCCGTGCCGACTTCCACCAGTGAGGTCAATCTGCATGAGCAGAAAGAGCCACTCGCGCAGGATGCAGGACAGCAACCTGCTGACATATCTGAAGAGCCAGAGAGATCAGAGAGGGTTTGCTTCACTGTCCAGGCCACCTAGCCTTGGGGAAGGCTGATGTTCCCATGCACCCCGGCACAGATCGAGAAATCGACATCTGTGTCGGCAATTTCTCACCAGCGCGCTCTCAGGCAGCTCCTAGACATGATTTCCGGCGGCGTCCTGATGTGCTTCGTGGCTGGTGCCGTACTTCTTCGTGACTTGAGGATGCTATGATGCCCCGAGTGTGAGCTTCATGAGACTGGCGAAGTCCGGCACTGCATAGGACCTGGAGCAAGTTGTTCTTCTGCAATGGCATACTCTTCGTCCTCAAAGGCTCCATTCTTTCAGGCAAAGAGTGGGGCAAGACAAGTCCTCGCTGTGCCAGGAGTCTTCGACTACGTCACAGTCCTCCCCGACTCGATTGGGATGGATAAATGTCAAGCAAGGCCCACGTGATCCCACGTCCTTGCGGATGCCCGGCCCCCGCGCACGCTGCGAGGCTGGGCGTCGCACCACTGAAGGAGTTCGAGAGACTTGGCAAACTCAGCGGCCGCTCGCGAGCACTTGGACCGATGATAGGAAATCTTTGGTGACACGTGAAAATCCAGGCCAAGAATTCATCGATGCCATGATCTCCTTGGAGCTTCGTGGCGTGGGCGGGACATGGCCGGTTCGGTACTGTGCCGATATGCTCTTGAGCGGTCACACCTTCGTCGCTTGACTGCCCTGGCGTTGTTGCAGACATCTTTTTCAATGTTTGAGCTTCTGCCATGGCCATGGAGGTCATGCTGCTCTATTTGCTGGCCGTGGCTGATCTCGGGCAGCGGGCGACGCTGCTGATGGAATCTCCTCAGAGCCGCTTGGACAGCAGCAAAGGGATTCTCTATGATCGGAATGACCGACAATTTTGTGTGCGACCCTGAGGAGAAATCTGCCAGGCACTCATTGGCGCTTTGGATCAATTTCGTGCCGCTGTCCACATGACATGGCATCAAACACTGGTGGCTTTCGGCCGGGAGTGCTTGACCTTTGGGGTTTCACGAGCCGTCCAAGCACTGTGCAAGTTTGGGAAGCCTGGATGTAAGGTATCTTTGCACTTTGCTGCACCGCAGCCGATCTGTACTTGATTGTGATCAATCACTTCCACTACACCGTGGATGTTGTCATGGCCATCGTGATGACGTTCTTACTCTACACGAATGCAGGCCGTGCTGTGGGGGAGCTCCATGAGATAGTGTCAACCATCCGGGACAGCCCAAACACACGAGGGAACATGTTCGTCGCGCAGAGTTGTCAGTCTCGTGCTTTGTGTCGGGCGCAGGCATGGCCGTGGTGGTTCAATGGTATGCTTCTGAACACGGCGAGGGCAGTCGGCTGTGCTCTCAGATGATCTGCGGTCCTGTAGTCTTGTCTGGGATGTTGCAACTTCCGCGACCTTCGAGGAATACAGAAGACAATGGAATGGTGTGGGTTCCGACAGCGATGTTTCCTTTCTGCTGCTTTGGTGGGTACTACAAAGTCAAAAAGCCCCACGGTTGCAGCCACTTTGCTGTGTTTCGGCTCAGTACTCAGTGCCTCGCGGGATAGCCAAGGCTTCAGTCAAAGGAGGTTCTCCAGCGCCAGGCCCGTGGCCTTCTTTTTTCCTCACCGCGGTCGGAAGGGCATGTGATACGTCATATACACCCACCGGGGGTGCGAGAGGCAGCGGATGGAAGCGCGGCCTGGGAAAGGCTTGCCGGGCCTGGGCCGGAGGCGAGATTTTTTCTAGCAGGACTTCGGGCTTCCTTGTTGTGCTTTGAGTTGCTTTCGGCTTCCAGGCCAAAGACTATGGCACAATGCAAGCCCCACAGGAGAAGACCGAGGCGAGAATGCAAAAAGCATTTTGTGCGGCGTGCAGCCCATGAGCGTGGCATGCCGGGAGGAGCTGGTAGACCCCTGAGCCGTCATGGCCAAGGAAACGCTAAAATGCAGTCTTTATGGTGGTTGGCGGGTGCCCCATCTGCTGTGTACATAGACTGTTGCATCTGCGCTGGCACATAATCATAGACGAGCATCAAGAAAAAGGCCCTTCTCGCTCTTGCCCGAAGCCAGAAGTGCGCGCAGAATCGGCTGGAACGATCCACATGACGCATCTTGCGCGCGACTGGTCGGAAGGGTGCATCACTTCGACGGTGTTGAGTCGCTTTTTGTGGCCGCTGTGCAGAAGCCGGCGGCGCCTTCGAGAAGGCCTTGTCACGGCTGAGCCGGCCGCCCAGTGTTTTTTTCAATGAGAATGCTAGCCTATGCTAGCCTGGAACGGCCACCTTTTGTGACGTTCGGGGCAGCTTCTGTGCTGACGTGTCCAGGCTCTGCACCCAAGCTGTCTGCGGACTGGCACTTGAAGGAGGCATGGGCTGTGCACAGTGCCCGCAGTATCCATCGGTACTGGAGAGAAGTAGATGGAGAGTGCTCCCCGCATCGCCGCCATGCATCTGCATCTGCTCAAGAGTTCTGGCATGTTGAAGCGAAGCATCTCGTATGAGAGGAGATGAGCCCAAGGAGTCCCAGCATCCAGTCGCTGTCTTTGTAGTCTTCCGTTTTCTGCGGACATGCGGATGCTATGTCAATGTGGTCTTCTTGCAAGCTTGGCGTCGGGCACAGTGGGGATGTTGTGGCACACATCTTGCTTGCATCCTGGATGTCGGGGAATGAGGTATCTTGGCTCGTGAGAGAAGTTCCGTCGACGCCCTGCAGCTTCCATGTCCCGCCCGGAGCCCAGAGCCCGTGGGCGCCGGGCCCAGCTACCCATGGCGCCAAAGCTGGCGTGCCCGGCGCTTGCTTTCGGATGTGTTGGATATCTCTGCCAAGATCACGTGGAGCTTCATCCTGAGGCTTTCCTGATGGGCACTCGGCAGAGAATTTGAGCGAAGTCATCCTGTGAGCTGGGTCAGCTCCGATCGCCTGCCTGTTTGGCGCATTCCGTCGTGGTGTTGTCGCAGACTTGCGGTCGCGAGGCAGAAAAGTGTGAGGATGTAACCAGTCGTAGATCAAGAAAGCACGTGCGGCACAGCAATAAAGTTGACCTGGCTTTGCAGCTGCGCCTTCCTTGGGAAGGCCAACATGTCACACTTCGGCTCTGGCAATTCGATCGGGGTCTGGCCGCCAGACCCCCCTTCATGCGTTTTGTAGCGTCATGGAGGTGAAAAGTTGGAGAAGACCCCTTGCTTGCAAACGATGTTGTGATGGAGCCTTTTTGTCCTGTGTTGCTTGGGAACCGAGGCTTGGAACGACGAGCCCAAGATGGTGAATCGATGGAATACCCTGGTGCTCCCGGCCACACCTCCCTTAAAAGCTTCAGCGCTCCTGCTCTTCGCAGCCTCCCCTTACGTGCTCTGAAGCGTCATATCCTAGCTGGTGCTGAAGCCTGCCAGATTCGCCTGGTTGCAAAGCGCCGCCGAATGCAAGATGTTTTCCAGGCAGGGCCTGCAAAGATGTCGTTGCAGCAGGGCAGCTATTGGTGATCCGACGTGCCTGCTGCGTTCGTCGCTGGTGGCCTCTGCGCTGAAGGACAGCAACCTTGAGCACACTAACATGTCCTATGTCTTTGCAGGTCTACGATGCCATGCGAGCATTGTGGGTTCGCGCGGACCGGACGGCTTGAGCCGCTTCTGAGTCGCATCGTAGCTGGAGCTCTTCAATTGACTTGTTCTGGAACCTGCTACCAGTGGTGTCTGCAGGATCACGGGACCACGGAGTTTATTGCAAGAGCAGCGGCGAGAACCTCAAGAGCGACACAGGCTGCGATAGAGATTCCATGCTTTGGATGTTGACAGGTGGCCACCGTGGATCTTAGCGGCCTCGTGGACTCGCTAGGGACTCTTTGTTGGCCGAAGCTCTCAAGACGCTCCGTTTGCTGCGATCCTTGAGGTTTCATACGATGCCGCCAGCTCGATATCCCGAGGTCGTTTTTGTGGGCTGGCCCGTTTCCGAGACACTCCTCGAAGATATAATAGCATGAAGGTGTCCAGATGACCAGCCCTGGAGACTTGAGACCGAGGTCCAACGTCGGCAAAAGCTCCTTAATTAACTCTCTCCTCCATCGCACTGCCAAATGCTCAGTCAGCATCTTGCCCAGGTGGATTCTGCCAAGTGTACTAAGCTGTAGATGCCGTGTTGAACGCTTTGTTCAATCTGTGTGAAGTGCTGTGTCAGGCTGTGGCCCCCGTGTCCACGATGCCCGGGAAGACGCGCCTTCCTTAGCCAAGTTCGCCTCTGCCCTGAGGCCGCGAGTGCCTTCGATGCATGTCTCGTGTCGCAAGGACTCAGTTCCATTTCTATACCATTAACGAGCACAACGCAGCTTTCCCGAAGATGACACTGGTTGACGTCCTCTCCTAAGAGCCTTTCATAGTCGAGGGCGCTTGGAGAACTTGTCTCCCGAGGTTCCTGGCATTGGCGAGGCCATGGCAGACGAGGTGCAGACGAGGCCAAGCCCCTGTCGATGGAACCTTAAGAGGCCGTCGGATCCGAATTTCAAAGGAAATGTCATGAGCCCATTTGATGGCTTTCTCCAGGTTGTTTCCTGGTATGCCCAGTCTCTCTCCCAGCTGCAAATTTTGTGGGGGCATTTTTCAAAAACGCGGTGTAGTGTCTTTCTCCACAGGAGTTCAAAAGAAGTCTGCGTCTGTTGCCTCCTCGTTCCTCTGAGCTTTTGCCCTTGCTCTGTGCATCAAGTGCTGTTTGCAGTACAGCTTCCGACCGACAGGCACTGGAGGCGAACTCTCGACTTGTGCGCCTGTGCACAAACCAGTTCGACGGTTAGAAAGCAAGGTCGCGTACCTGGGTCTTTTTGCGTGCCCCTTCCGTCCTCCATGTCCTCCCAGCATCTGCATGGCATTGCAGGTACTTGAAAGAGCGTGGTCCGACGCTGCGCCAGGTTTTTCACTTGATCAGCTGCGAGGCCTAAGTTCCTGGAAGTGGACATGGGAGGCTAAAGTAAGTTCAACATCTGGATGCAGTGAAGGTCTTGTTGCGTCGACAGAGACCATCTCCTTTGGACATTTCGGTGATGGAGCCTCTTCTGCATGTGATAGGCGGTATTCTGGGGCATTGCATGGAGCCGGACCAGACAGCTAAGGAGATGTGCCTCCATCACCGAAGCAAGTTCAACTTGGACTACACCTTGGTGCCTGGACTTTAGATGCTCCGAGAATTCTCGGCCAGACGAGGCTTTGACCTGAGGTGATCACAAAGATTGATCTCATCAGGAGCAAGAAAGATGCCGAGCCGTTCCGGCTTGACTTTGACTTTGTAGTAGCTGTCGTACACGCGGCAAACCTTCGCAGAGACAGATCGGGAAACGTGTGCAGCTCGCCAGGACTGTGTACGAGAACCTGTGCAAAGTTGTTCGCAGGCTTCGACTTGGCTCGGCCAAGGCCGTGATTTCAGTCTTGTGCCCGACGAGAATGTCCACGATGTGACGAACAGCCGTCCTGACAGATTGTCCCGGCCAGCGTGCGCAGCACCACCGGCCGCGTGCTGCTTTGGAAACGCTTGTGGAGGTAGGCGGCCCTTGGAGCTTCTCGGGGCTGCAGTGATAACGCAGGATGAGAGAAGTCTTTCAGGAAGTAGGTCATCCTCGGTTTCCGCAGACGAACTGCACACTGATTCACGTGGAGAAGCGAGATGCCCGGAGAAGGTTTTTGGCAAGTTGTGCAGCTGTATGAGCTTCAGAGGGCGACTAAAGGGCTGCTCACGAAAAGTGGCATCTTCTTCGCCGCCGTGATGGTAAATAAGGCGAGTTTGGGTCTGGCGTGCCAGGTCCGTGGATCCCGAGAACAGCACACACTCATCGCAAGATCTCAGCGCCCTCCGCCAGGCGAGGCTTCGGGTCGGTGTTGCCATGGGGGGTTTCGACAGTGAAAGCCGATGCAACTCCAGAAAGACAAGTGTGAAGCACCCAGTGGTCCATGCAGTCTTCGTCTGATCCACGATTAGTCATCTCGGTATTTCCCGACTTGGCGCTTTGCCGCCTGGCAGTGCACGTGCAACTTCTGTCACCCCGTGCTCAGGAGGTGGAGCGGCTAGTCGAAGCCAAAGATGCCGAGGCGTTGATCGCACGAGCAAAGGAGGCTGCCTGCCCAGCGGACTCCAGAAAAGTTTAGGGTTTAGGGCAGTTTAGGGTCTAGGATGGTCTAGGAAGCTTGTGCGTGGCAAGGCTGTGAAACGTCATGTAGCCAGGGCCGTGCCACTTGTCGTGTTTGCACAGGAGTCTGGAGATGGATGGGAATGCATCGTTCGGGGAATCCTGGCTCTTGGAAGACTCCATGATGCCTGGCAGATCATCCAGGCACCAGCTGACTGCCGGGAATCGCCAGTTGAGAGGAGAGCCCGACAAAGAATTGAATGCAGCTATGGAGTGGTGCCACAAGTAGAGAAGCAGCAACTGTGGCCATTGTTATTGCTGCCGTCTGCTGTTGCTGCTACCCCGTCCTCCTCGATTTGCTACCTGTGTTTCTTCTACTGTCATTTAGAACTATGCAGATCCTCTCCCTCTCTCTGCCTCTCTCGCGCCCTCGCCCTCGCACCTGCTCCAAGACTTCGACGAGTCGCACGCGGACCCTTAAACCCCAAAACCCCTAAACCCCTTTTTCGAAGGGGCATCCTCGGGCCTCGGAGGCGGCGTCCCTCTCAGGCAAACCAGTGAGTTTTTTCAGTGAAACGTCGCTGCTCGCCCGGCGGCCAGAGCCCGGCGGCCTCGGTGCAGAGCCCACACCCAGAAGTGAAGGCTTGTTTTGGTCATGGTACGTAGGTTGCACAAAAAAAAACATACTTGTTGAGCCCAGCTAGTCCAGACATAGTCCCAACAGGCGAGCGAGAAACATCCAGCCATCAAGCTTCTCGCTTACTTTCTCGTGCGCATCAGCTTCGGATCGGGCCAGCTCAAATGTCAACACCGCAAACTCCATCGATGCAGCCGTGGGTGGTGTGTGCACGTTGCAGTAGTCGTTGCCACTAGGCGCCCTACCGCTGCTTTGTGAGAAGCACTGCCAGCGCAGCAATGCTCGCATGCATGCGAGGCCGGTCCGCAAAGAGCCCAAGGCGCAGTGACAGCAGCGAGCACACAGAGAGGGTGCAGACACTCCATGTCAGGTTTGGAAGAGCATGAAACTGCGGAGGTCCCGTAGTTGCCCTTGATTTTTGACTTCAAACATCACCCAGTACTGTTCCCTCCACTAAACACAAGATCTGGAAGGATGCCGAAGAAGACATGGAGATGCTCAAGGAGGGCCTTCTGGAGGCTCGGCGTTTCGAAGTGATTTCCTTCGGACTTCGGTGTTTTGAAATGTCCAGGCTGCGGAGGCCGGGGAAGAAGCTGAAAAAGACCAGGCCCGGGGTTTCTGCGGCATCAGCTGGGTCCTAGTGGGTTTGAGATGTGAGTTCTTTGGGATGGCAGCAACTTTGGTCTCTCATCTTCGTGTGCAAGGACGACGAAGATGCACCAGAAGTGTCGGAGGCTGTCTGGCTTGGGAGTGGGGTGTGCCGGTCAGTGCATATACAGCACGATCGCTGCTCACGCCCGTTGTGTGTCTATGTGTGCCTGTGTGCGCATGCGTGTGAGGTGCGAGCATACACTAAGACTCGGGTACTCGTGAGGACGAAGCAGGGGACTTCTTCGCCATCCCAGAAGACCTAGAGTCTGAGCAGATGGCTGCCATGCAGGTGCGCAGTGCCTGGGGTCACCGCAGTCTAAACCCCCAAAGCCCAAAACGTTCCCAGACCCAAGGACATCAAAAAACCCATGGCCTTCGATCTGAGAGGAGAGGGCGGCCCTTGCGGTGGGCGAGGCGGCTTTGGCACCGAAGAGCGAGGGCGGCGAGCCCTTGCAAGGGCCTTGGCATTCCGGAGAAAGTGCTAAAAGACAGACAAGGCACATTCTAGCATATTGCATGGGAGAAAGCAGGGCTTCACCGCAAGGGTAGTTTTTTGTCGCAGTGTGAGCTCTCCGCTGAAGGCTGGCCCCGCGTGACCCCGCGCTGGCCGAGGAAGTCGCAATGTTGCTGAGCAAGGAACATCGTGGGGCGGCGGCAGAGCTGCTGAGCCTTGGATGCAGCTGCCTCTAGCAGGGAAGCAGCTGAAAGCTGAAAGCGCGGAGTATCTCAGGATGGAGCAGGTCGTCGCAATCGCGCGGCTCGAGAGTCTCGACTCCGGCCCTGGCCAGTTTCCTCGCAGCTTCGGAAAGCTCGAAGCCCTGCTGAAGCAGGCCAAGGAGGCCCCAAACGTGCCGGACCCGGGGAGCTTTTGCACACACTGGAGCTGCACGGAGCCAGGATGCAATCTTCACGCCCTGGAGCGCCGACCGCCCTCCCCCCACAAGCAGCATTCTCCATCCCTTCGGCCGAGATGCTGCTTGAGACCCCAACGTGAGGCTGGAATAGGTTGCTCCGAGTGGTCGGCAGCCAGTCCGCCCCTGAAATGTGTTGGGCTTGCGGCTCCGAAGCATCAAGCCTCGGTGAGCAGTGCAAGGGCCAACTTGAACGCGGTTGAGAGAGCTCTGCCCTCAGCAAGAGCAGCACGGCAGCACGCCACTGGCGTTGTGTTCCCAACTTCTAGGTGCTGGACTATATGTCGCAGTTTCAGGTCACTGGTGACCAGGCGAGAACAGAGTCCGACACCACGTTAGCCAAGTAGTCCGGCTGTGCAGCAGGGATAGCATCATGGTGCTTGCAGCACTGTGTCGATCCCAACTGCATCGGCTTTTTGAAGTCTCTAATGTCTCGACTCTGCAAGGAAACGGATGCTGTCATGGCCGAGTTGGTCTGGGGCTTCGGATCGAACCGTCATGGAGCTTCCATGCTCGCGCGAAGACTCTTCTCTTTCAGGTCGTTTCATCCGTGGACTTGGGCGGGCAGGCTGAGAAATGGGAGAGGATCTTTTTTTTTTTGAAAAAAAAGCCAATGCGCACCAGCTTCTTGGAGGCACCTGGCCCCAGCGAGCGGGATCCACGGAGACGCTTCTCCCAACTCGGAGCCTGGCACTCCGCTCTTTTCTGAGGCTGGACCCAGAGCCAGGTTCCGCTCCCAAGGCCGGAGCTCCCCGATTTTGCGCAGGACATATGTATGTATGTATGTATGTATGTTTGTATGTATGTAGTATAATAAATATAAATACATATACATATACATATAGATATATATATATATACATACACATAAGACTTCGCCCCCGACGGCCAGGTCCTCTTCCTTGGTGGTCGTAGTTTCTCCTCGCGAAAAGGAGGCTGTCATGAGCTCCTTGCTCCAGTGGGACCTGTTTTGCCGCAGGTGGCTTAGGCAGATTCGTCTCTCAAGGCCACATGTTGCCTGCTTCGTTGCCGCCCCGGCTCTGCAGAGAGGTGTTTCAGCAATCATCCCAATCATGTGTGCAGCAACCCCCACTGTATGGTCAGCACTGCGGCCACTTGATAAGGGAAGCCACTTAATGACCAAAGTCGAAGGCATTCTGCGCAGAACATACCGAGGGAGGGCTCCAGATCCACTGAGTGTTTGCCTCCACATCACTGAGAATGGACACGATGAATGGACAGATGGGCGGAAAAACCAAGCCCGGTGCGCCTCCCTGTGCATCTCGGGATCGTTTAGCTGGTTTATCGTCGTCTAGATCGAGATGGGGGCCAACTGCACCTGCTCTCTGGGACGTTCATGCCATAATGTGTTTACTAAGGCACGGGTTTTTGTCAAGAACCTTCCCGGTGGCTCTACCGACGACAGCGTGAGGGCGATCTTCGAGAAGTTTGCCAACGTCCAAGGCGGATCCGCCCTCGCTTATCGATATATATATATATATGTATGATGCACGTAAATTTTTTCAAACATATATATATATACACATACGATCTGTGGAATTCTACACAACATGTCAACGATGGAGGCACGCGCATTTCGTAGGGTGCAATCAATAAGTTCGCTCCCCTGACTTCTCCAAACCCACTTTAAATAGATATCTCTCTACACCCATCGACGTCAGTAGTAGATAAGGGCAAACCCTGGCCAAAGGCGTCAAAGTTCTTGCGCCTTCCATGGGCAGAACGACACTCGCGGGCTATGTTACCTTCGCAAGCGTGGACGAGGTGTTGAGTAAAGAGAAGAACCGAGAACAATTGGACTTGTGCAGGTTGCATGGAAGTTCGCTGAAGACATCCGTTTAAAGCTCATGTGTGTACATGCGAGGGTTCCCATTGACGGGCTCTTAGAATGAAATCTTTGCTGGCGTGGGAGACTTTTTCAGACGCAAGAATGCAATTTTGTGCTTAGAACTGCTTCCAGCCACCGAGTAGGACAGCTTGTGCATTTACACTTGGCTGAAGAGATTTAGCTGCTGCGTCGACGCTGGGTTTTGGCCGCATGGATACCCAAAGTTTGGTGCAAGGGTTGCCGATAATCTACAACCCTGGGCAACATAGGCACCGTATGCACCATACCCAACTGCAACGAGGCGACGTGGGTTGTCGAGAACATCAGTGACCATCCCCTTGATGGCCTGCCAGAACCCGTGTAGCTTTGCGGCATTTTTCAAAGACTTCCGTATAGGATTATAATATAATATACTATAATGTAATATCATATCACATAAGATAATATAATAGTACAATATAATATACAATACTATAATATAATAAAATACTATAATATAATACAGTATAACATAGTATAATTTATTATAATATAATCAGAGGCAACCTAGTGGACGTGACCCCTTCTGCCAGGTCGATAAGTTTTGCTTACGAGCCGGACAGTGTCAAGGGCATCAGCAAAGGCCTCCTGTTTCAGCCGCTTCTTGCGAAAGAACTAAAAGTAAAGTTAATAAGCAGCACACTGGTGATATGCATATACACGTGTGTATACACGAGGCTACAATGCATCGATGTAAATACCCGGATTGCAAGAATCTCAAACACGTTAGCGTTGCATTTATCTATGCTGGCATCGGGGCATCTTTGCCACATGTGAAGGCTACATGGGAAAAGGCGGCATGATGTGTGGAGCCTGGCATTTGTGCGTGCCGTACTGACTGGCCGATTGCTTCCGCAGCTGTCGCACCTCTAAGGATGGGAAAAGGCATGATGAAAGGAGGGCCCTATGGCAAGGTTGGTGGCTACAAGGGTAGCTACAAGGGTGGACCGATGGATTACAAGGGCGGCATGGGAAAAGGTTCCGGCTACGACGACTATGGGGACTACGGAGGCTACGGAGGCTATGGGAGCTATGGAGGCTACTCCAGCTACTCAGATTACAGCGGTGGCTATGGACCGAAGGGAGCCGGGATGAGCGGAATGAAAGGCCCAGGAATGAAGGGCCCCATGGCGAAGGGGGGGATGGGACCAATGCCCGGCACCATGAAGGGCATGTCCAAGGGTGGCGGCATGGCATGGGGCAAAGGCTATTAGGCGTGGGCAGCTGCGCCTCCAGATGCTCCGGCCTCTCAGCTGCACCTTGTCAAGAGAGCAAGCCAGGTTCGGATGAATTCTGCGCTTATTGTGCCAAAGTCTAAGGAACTTACCCAGGAACCGCTGAGTGACGTTAGCAGCCGTTAGCACGTCTCCAGTAGGGCACCCGTTCAACTGTCAGGCCCGGCTGTGGCTCCGTGATGGAAACTCAGAGAAAGTGAAGTCATGCTCAGGGGCACAAGACCAGCCGTCTGTTGTGACACTTAGTGTTTGGGAGCCAAGCACTTGCACTGGCCTAGCTGACATAACATAGAGGCACAGTGCGTCCAGAAGTGTGATGACTGTGAGCTTCGCTGGTTCATGGAACATGAAATGAACCCACTCCGCAACGCTGGGGCGGGCACAATGACGACTGCATGCAGATAGCACCGCTGTCATGCCAGTTCGGCGTAACTTAAATATGCTCTGCGTGGCCACGCTTTAGTCAAAAGAAACTGCCCCGGCCTTTCGTTGCGTTGCCACTTCGTTTGTGCACCATGGATTTTCATTGAGATTTGCGCTGTCGTGCCAGGCCCTGATCGTGCTGCCATAGCAGATGCCATAGTGTCCACGATTCCGAGACGGAGGACAGCTCCACTGTGGGAGTGTTATCCAACAATCCGCAGACAGCTCTCCAGGATTGAAGACGAACTCGCATCTGTGAGCAGGGAGAATGCTCGCAAGACTCGAGGCTGACCGTGTCGGTTTGCAACCCTTTATATAATGTAGTAGTATACTCTCATATAATAAATTATCAGAAAGTATATTGTATTACATTATATTACATTATATTACATTATATTATAATATATTATGTTATACAATATTACATTATAATGTTGTATATTCTATTCTATTATATTATATTAAACTATATTGTACTAAAATATATTATATTAAATTAAACTAAATTACACTATATTATATTATGCTATGATATATTATATTGTATTATATTTATATTATATTTGTATTATATGTATATTTATACAATACAATATAATATAATATATTAATAAACTACATTTTTTTAATATTATATTGATATTATGTTATGTTATGTTATACTAGAATATATTATATTATGTTATATTGTTTTATATTGTATTATATTTTGTTATGCTATAATATATTATATAATATTGTATTATGTTATATTGCATTATATTATGTTATATTACATTTCATGATACTGTTTTATATTATATTATCTTGTATCATACTATATTATATTACATTATTTTATATTATTCTATGTTATATTATTTTAGATTACATTATACTGTTGTATTTTATATTATATGATATAAATGTCGATTGTCACTTCGAATGCGGTTTATTGCCTCTCCCTGTGGCTCTCCCTCAGCGCTTCTCGAAAGTTTCACCTCATTTCACCTCCTCACTCCCCCTTTCCCTCTCTCTCTCTCTCTCTCTCCCTGTCTCTTCGTTCAATATTTTTTTCTTAAAAGTGCTCGTATTACTACTAGTACTGTTGGTGTTTTGTTTGCTCCTCTCTATCTCACTCTCTCTCTCTCTCTCTCTCTCTCTCTCTCTGTCTCTCGCTCTCTTCTCTTTTTTCATGCCGGGAGATCAGGCAAGAAGTCTTCGCAGCCGTGAGCTTAGCAGTGCCCGGCCTCTTCACTTACAGGTTGCAAACTGCTCATAGCAGCAGTGCAGCGCATTTCAGAATCTTTCAGAGGTTTTTGCGCGTTGAGCGAGCCGCCTTGTTTAGTCTAAATTCGGAAGCACACGGAGCTGACAGACGCTTGCAGGCAGTTGGATGTCCCGCTGGTGCTGTGCTCAAGTGCCACGCAGTGCCTGCACTTTCATGACTTGTCCAGGCCTTGCAGCTTTATCTTCTGAGGCGAGCTTGTTGAACATCAACAAAGCTCCCACGGGTCAGGCGCAGCCAGACTGAGCTCTACTGGTCGGTGCATCTGACTCTGCGTCGGTCGAGGTGTCGGTGCCAGCAGTGACACTGCTGTCGGTCCCAGCGCTTCAGAGACCGTCGGTACTGCTCTTGGTGAGAATGCTCATTCGGATTGCCAACTGCCGAGACCTGAAAATCTGCACGCAGACCTCTCAAGCGCCTGTGGAAGAAGCTACCTAAGCTGTCCCTTTTAACATCTTCGGCGATAATTTTGTTCTTGTTATCCTGCCGCCTTGCCACTCAGTCCAGTAAGCTGCAAATGCTGAAGTCGCGTTTCGCATTGCGGCTACTCTTTGAGTTTTGCAGAACGATTTGGCACTTTGTGGTCCCTTTTGTGTTAGTCGCAGCAAGCCGCCTATGTATGGAACGTCCTCTTCCGGGAATCGCCAGCCGTGGCACACGGTAGTGCCTTCCGGAGTACATGCTTGGCGAGCCCAAGCGATATGCCGGTGGGGCGACTGTGAGGCACATCCGGCATGCTCCTTGTTCTCTAACTGCTGCTTCAGTTGCTGTTTTTGTGCGAGGTAGCTCGGCGTCAGAGGGCTCCGAGCTTGCCGAGCAACTCGGACGGGCGGCGAACCGAGACTTCCGCCCGAGCTGTTCGCCAGAGGGTTCAGGTGCACCTGCCACAAGTGGTCAATCCTCAGCTCGAAAACCCGGTACATAACATCCTGCTCCAAAGCACATGCAGCCAGTCAAAACCACATGTAAGCATCTCTGCCAATCATGTACTAGAGCAGCAGCGAGGCCACGCCACAGTCGTTCTGCCACTCTGGGGGCGCTGAGCCTGGGCCTGTGTGTCAAAGCGTTGGTGCGACGAGGCTCGCATGGCTTGAGATGGCTGCAGGGCTCTTGGATGCTACAGAGAACCCCATTATTACTAGGTTGCTGCGAGAAACACGCAGTTTTTCACATGTACCTTGAAGGGTTTTATGGGATAAGCCAATTATTGCTGTTATTTCGAAGTATTCCCATTACCACTACCACTACCATGACCATTGCCATTACCGTTACTGTTATCGTTACCATTGCCATTAATTTTGGTTCTTCTTCTTCGTATTAATGCTAATAGTAGTACTCATATCAATATTAACGATAATCTTGATATTCAAAGTTGATATTAATA